CACTCTGTCATTTCGTCGCTCTGTCAGTCAGTTGTACTGTTGTTCAGTGACTCAGTCACTCTGTCATTTCGTCGCTCTTTTAGTCAGTTTTATTGTTTTTCAGTGGCTCTGTCACTCTGTCATTTCGTCGCTCTTTTAGTCAGTTTTATTGTTTTTCAGTGGCTCAGTCACTCTGTCCTTTCGTCGCTCTGTCAGTCAGTCGTCCTGTTGTTCAGTGGCTCCGTCACTCTGTCATTTCGTCGCTCTGTCAGTCAGTTGTACTGTTGTTCAGTGGCTCTGTCAGTCAGTTTTATTGTTGTTCAGTGGCTCTGTCACTCAGTCATTTTGTCGCTCTGTCAGTCAGTCGTCCTGTTGTTTAGTGGCTCTGTCACTCTCTCATTTCGTCACTATGTCAGTCAGTTGTATTGTTGTTCAGTGGCTCTGTCAGTCAGTTTTATTGTTGTTCAGTGGCTCTGTCACTCAGTCATTTTGTCGCTCTGTCAGTCAGTCGTCCTGTTGTTTAGTGGCTCTGTCACTCAGTCATTTTGTCGCTCTGTCAGTCAGTCGTCCTGTTGTTTAGTGGCTCTGTCACTCTCTCATTTCGTCACTATGTCAGTCAGTTGTATTGTTGTTCAGTGGCTCAGTCACTCAGTCATTTCGTCACTATGTCAGTCAGTCGTCCTGTTGTTTAGTGGCTCTGTCACTCTGTCATTTCGTCGCTCTTTTAGTCAGTTTTATTGTTTTTCAGTGGCTCTGTCACTCTGTCATTTTGTCGCTCTGTCAGTCAGTTGTACTGTTGTTCAGTGGCTCTGTCAGTCAGTTTTATTGTTGTTCAGTGGCTCTGTCACTCAGTCATTTTGTCGCTCTGTCAGTCAGTCGTCCTGTTGTTTAGTGGCTCTGTCACTCTGTCATTTCGTCGCTCTTTTAGTCAGTTTTATTGTTTTTCAGTGGCTCTGTCACTCTGTCATTTCGTCGCTCTTTTAGTCAGTTTTATTGTTTTTCAGTGGCTCAGTCACTCTGTCATTTCGTCGCTCTGTCAGTCAGTCGTCCTGTTGTTCAGTGACTCTGTCACTTTGTCAATCTGTCACTCGGTCATTTCGTCGCTCTGTCAGTCAGTCGTCCTGTTGTTCAGTGGCTCTGTCACTCTCTCATTTCGTCACTATGTCAGTCAGTTGTATTGTTGTTCAGTGGCTCAGTCACTCAGTCATTTCGTCACTATGTCAGTCAGTTGTATTGTTGTTGTGCTGGCGTCACTATCTACAGCGATGATATGGCCACACACAGAGCCATTGTAGATTTCCTGACTGCTGAGAACGTACAGATGTACACCCACCAGTCACACCATCAGAAAGGAGACGAGTGGTAATCAAAAAACTACACCACTCGACACCCTGTGCCTGGCTGAGGGTCAAGCTGTCGGAGCTGGGCTTCGTGGTACGTTTCATACGTGCAATGAGGCATCGGTTCACCGGCATGCCACTAAACGTCTTTGAGGTTGAGCTGCAACCAATACCCGATGGCAGCCATCTCAAGATATGTGAACTCTGAGACGCCTACTGTCGACGTCCATACAGATGCATGAAATGTGCCGGCTCTCATGCATCCACTGAGTGCACCAAAGCACGAGATGCACTCGCAAAGTGCTTCAACTGTGGAGGTGCACATGTATGCTGCTATAAAGGCTGCCCTAAATACAAAGAGGCTCGAAATAGGCCACTAGCTGTAAGGTACTTACCGACAAACGACAAACGTAAGCAGCACAAAACACAAAGCAACTAGGGCATCCGATATGTTATCGGGCCAAGCAACATCGATATCAAAGTGCGATAAATGCAGTAATTTAAATTCAAATATGTTGCTTCGTGAAAGTAATGACTTGAATTAAGTAAAAGAGAATTCTGAAAGAGAGAATTTGTAACTGCCGCTTCACGGCAGGCAATTGGCTGGCGCATACTCCACTGCTGACTGTTCGAGTGCGCAGACTTGCCGTTCTGTCCGCCTCGCTGCCGGTGGGCGCGCGCCGCGAAAAGCACTCTGTGCAATAGCTAATACTTAAACTATATATAATTGCGCTCATGTGTGCCGGAGGAGAACACGAGAACACTGGACTGCATGATCTGCTGATCCCCACCGTGCCTGGACGACTGAAGAAATGCTGCAGCTGCTGCCCTTTATATAGGGCGACTGAGACTCAAATTAAAGATCGCACTCAAATTTGGAGCCCGTTGCATTTGAGCTTTAGTTGACCACTGGGAATACTCTCTGCTGCTGCTTTCTAGCTTCTGACAAATGATTCAGTGGCTCAGTCACTCTGTCATTTCGTCGCTCTGTCAGTCAGTCATCCTGTTGTTCAGTGGCTCTGTCACTCTGTCATTTCGACGTTCTGTCAGTCAGTTATACTGTTGTTCAGTGACTCAGTCACTCTGTCATTTCGTCGCTCTGTCAGTTAGTTGTACTGTTGTTCAGTGGCTCTGTCACTCTGTCACTCTGTCATTTCGTCGCTCTGTCATGTTGTCGCTCTGTCATTCAGTTGTACTGTTCTTCAGTGGCATTGTCGTTTTGTCGATCTGTTGCTCAATCACTTCTGTCGGTCAGTCGATCCGTTATACACTTCACTTCACTTCACTGGACAGCATGATCTGCTGATACCCACCGTGGCTGGACGACTGAAGAAATGCTGCAGCTGCTGCCCTTTATATAGGGCGACTGAGACTCAAATTAAAGATCGCACTCAAATTTGGAGCCCGTTGCATTTGAGCTTTAGTTGACCACTGGGAAGACTCTCTGCTGCTGCTTTCTAGCTTAGTTTTACTGAAATATAACTGACAAATGATTCAGTTGCTCAGTCACTCTGTCATTTCGTCGCTCTGTCATTCAGTCGTCCTGTTGTTCAGTGGCTCTGTCATTTCATCGCTCTGTCAGTCAGTTGTACTGTTGTTCAGTGACTCTGTCATTTTGTCATTTTGTCGCACTGTCAGTCAGTCGTCCTGTTGTACACTCTGTCATTACGTCGCTCTGTCAGTCAGTCATCCTGTTGTTTAGTGGTTCTGTCACTCTGTCATTTCGTCGCTCTTTTAGTCAGTTTTATTGTTTTTCAGTGGCTCTGTCACTCTGTCATTTCGTCGCTCTGTCAGTCAGTCATCCTGTTGTTTAGTGGCTCTGTCACTCTGTCATTTTGTCGCTCTGTCAGTCAGTTGTACTGTTGTTCAGTGGCTCTGTCAGTGTTGTATTGTTGCTTAGTGGCTCTGTCACTCAGTCATTTTGTGGTTCTGTCAGTCAGTCGTCCTGTTGTTTAGTGGCTCTGTCACTCTGTCATTTCGTCGCTCTTTTAGTCGTTTTATTGTTGTTCAGTGGCTCTGTCACTGTCATTTTGTCGCTCTGTCAGTCAGTCGTCCTGTTGTTTAGTGGCTCTGTCACTCTGTCATTTCGTCGCTCTTTTAGTCAGTTTTATTGTTTTTCAGTGGCTCTGTCACTCTGTTATTTCGTCGCTCTTTAGTCGTTTTATTGTTTTTCAGTGGCTCAGTCACTCTGTCCTTTCGTCGCTCTGTCAGTCGTCGTCCTGTTGTTCAGTGGTCCGTCACTCTGTCATTTCGTCGCTCTGTCGTCGTCGTCCTGTTGTTCGTGACTCTGTCACTTTGTCAATCTGTCACTCGGTCATTTCGTCGCTCTGTCGTCGTCTCCTGTTGTTCTGGCTCCGTCACTCTGTCATTTCGTCGCTCTGTCAGTCAGTCGTCCTGTTGTTCAGTGGCTCTGTCACTCTCTCATTTCGTCACTATGTCAGTCAGTTGTATTGTTGTTCAGTGGCTCAGTCACTCAGTCATTTCGTCACTATGTCAGTCAGTTGTATTGTTGTTGTGCTGGCGTCACTATCTACAGCGATGATATGGCCACACACAGAGCCATTGTAGATTTCCTGACTGCTGAGAACGTACAGATGTACACCCATCAGTCACACCATCAGAAAGGATATCGAGTGGTAATCAAAAAACTACACCACTCGACACCCTGTGCCTGGCTGAGGGTCAAGCTGTCGGAGCTGGGCTTCGTGGTACGTTTCATACGTGCCATCGTGAGGCATCGGTTCACCGGCATGCCACTAAACGTCTTTGAGGTTGAGCTGCAGCCAATGCCCGATGGCAGCCATCTCAAGATATGTGAACTCGATACGATCAGCAATCAACAGGTGCTAGTTGAAAGGCAGGCGAAGGCCATCGATCCGGCCCAGTGCCATCGATGCCAGGCGTTCGGGCACACTAAGAACTACTGTCGACGCCCATACAGATGCATGAAATGTGCCGGCTCTCATGCATCCACTGAGTGCACCAAAGCACGAGATGCACCCGCAAAGTGCTTCAACTGTGGAGGTGCACATGTATGTTGCAATAAAGGCTGCCCTAAATACAAAGAGGCTCGAAATAGGCTACTAGCTGTAAGGTACTTACCGACAAACGAGCTGCAGCAACAGCAACAACAACAACAACAACAACAACAACAACAGCAACACCAGCGCCAAGATCGACCACAGATTGAGCAGCGTCAGCAACCAAAGCTACAACAGCAGCAACATCAATTGCGACAAAAACAGCATCGCACAAAAGAGACGCCAATAAATCCAGGCACAAAGCGCAAGCTGACATACAGCAGCGTGGTGCATGGATCGTATAAAACAACAAAGCCACTGCCGCAACACCAACAGCAAAACCAGCAACAACAACAACAACAACAACTACAACTACAACGACAAAGACAGACGCGACAACACCACCAACAACAGCAACCCCAAACACCAATCACAAAGCCCACCAACCGCACCACTAACACACAGCGATACTCAATAAACCACAAAGAGAAACGCCCAACAACAACAACAACTGTATCCAATGGACGTAATCCAGCAGCAAGGCACTTGGCTAGGCTGCAACAGAAGTTAAAGGACGAGCAAGCCAAGTCAAGTAGCCTTGAAGAGCTACTTGAACAAAACAAGGCCATGTTCGAGAGGCTGGAGAAACAAATTGAACAAATTATGACTATAGTTATTACTTTATTGAACTCAAACAAACAAAAACAAGTCATGAATGCAGGTGAGCCAATGCAGCAGAGGACTCCAAGGCGCGAAGAGGTTGACCTCCGAGAGCTGATGGACCTCAGCGACGAGTGCGAGGCGGTCTCAGCGATGACGCCAACGAGCGTAGCAATGTACTAGGTAGCTTACATCAACATTTGTGATGCCAATAAGCTTACCTGCAATGAGAAAAATTAAAAAAAATCATCTAATTAATAACAATATTAAAACTAGCAAAAATTTAAAATATACACTTACCTGCAAAACGGCAAAAAATTCGACGGGGATGATTGACGACGCTTCTATCTGCCCCTAGAGATGTTCATAAGCTTACCTGCAATGAGAAAAATTAAAAATATCATCTAATTAATAACAATATAAAAACTAGCAAAAATTTAAAATATACACTTACCTGCAAAACGGCCAAAAATTCGACGAAGATGATTGACGACGCTTCTATCTGCGCCTAGAGATGTTAATAAGCTTACCTGCAATGAGAAAAATTAAAAAAAATCATCTAATTAATAACAATATAAAAACTAGCAAAAATTTAAAATATACACTTACCTGCAAAACGGCCAAAAACTCGACGAGGATGACCAATGACGTTCCTATCTGCCCCTAGAGATGTTAATGAGAAAAATTAAAAAAATCATCTAATTAATAACAATATTAAAACTAGCAAAAATGTAATATATACACTTACATGCAAAACGGCAAAAAATTCGACGGGGATGATTGACGACGCTTCTATCTGCCCCTAGAGATGTTCATAAGCTTACCTGCAATGAGAAAAATTAAAAATATCATCTAATTAATAACAATATAAAAACTAGCAAAAATTTAAAATATACACTTACCTGCAAAACGGCAAAAAATTCGATGAAGATGATTGACGACGCTTCTATCTGCGCCTAGAGATGTTAATAAGCTTACCTGCAATGAGAAAAATTACAAAAAATCATCTAATTAATAACAATATAAAAACTAGCAAAAATTTAAAATATACACTTACCTGCAAAACGGCCAAAAACTCGACGAGGATGACCAATGACGTTCCTATCTGCCCCTAGAGATGTTAATGAGAAAAATTAAAACAGTCATCTAATTAATAACAATATTAAAACTAGCAAAAATGTCAAATATACACTTACCTGCAAAACGGCCAAAAATTCGACGAGGATGACCAATGACGTTCCTATCTGCCCCTAGAGATGTTAATAAACTTTCCTGCAATGAGAAAAATTAAAAAAATCATCTAATTAATAACAATATTAGAGCTAGCAAAATTTAAAATATACACTTACCTGCAAAACGGCATAAAATTCGACGAGGATGATTGACGACGCTTCTATCTGCCCCTAGAGTGTTAAGAAGCTTACCTGAAATGAGAAAAATTAAAAAAATCATCTAATTAATAACAATATAAAAACTAGCAACAATTTAAAATATACACTTACCTGCAAAACGGCAAAAAATTCGACGAAGATGATTGACGACGCTTCTATCTGCGCCTAGAGATGTTAATAAGCTTACCTGCAATGAGAACAATTAAAAAAATCATCTAATTAATAACAATATAAAAACTAGCAAAAATTTAAAATATACACTTACCTGCAAAACGGCCAAAAACTCGACGAGGATGACCAATGACGTTCCTATCTGCCCCTAGAGATGTTAATGAGAAAAATTAAAACAGTCATCTAATTAATAACAATATTAAAACTAGCAAAAATGTCAAATATACACTTACCTGCAAAACGGCCAAAAATTCGACGAGGATGACCAATGACGTTCCTATCTGCCCCTAGAGATGTTAATAAACTTTCCTGCAATGAGAAAAATTAAAAAAATCATCTAATTAATAACAATATTAGAGCTAGCAAAATTTAAAATATACACTTACCTGCAAAACGGCATAAAATTCGACGAGGATGATTGACGACGCTTCTATCTGCCCCTAGAGTGTTAAGAAGCTTACCTGAAATGAGAAAAATTAAAAAAATCATCTAATTAATAACAATATAAAAACTAGCAACAATTTAAAATATACACTTACCTGCAAAACGGCCAAAAACTCGACGAGGATGACCAATGACGTTCCTATCTGCCCCTAGAGATGTTAATGAGAAAAATTAAAACAATCATCTAATTAATAACAATATTAAAACTAGCACAAATTTAAAATATACACTTACCTGCAAAACGGCCAAAAACTCGACGAGGATGACCAATCTGCCCCTAGAGATGTTAATAAACTTACCTGCAATGAGAAAAATTAAAAAAATCATCTAATTAATAACAATATTAAAACTAGCAAAAATGTAATATACACTTACCTGCAAAACGGCAAAAAATTCGACGGGGATGATTGACGACGCTTCTATCTGCCCCTAGAGATGTTCATAAGCTTACCTGCAATGAGAAAAATTAAAAATATCATCTAATTAATAACAATATAAAAACTAGCAAATATTTAAAATATACACTTACCTGCAAAACGGCAAAAAATTCGACGAAGATGATTGACGACGCTTCTATCTGCGCCTAGAGATGTTAATAAGCTTACCTGCAATGAGAAAAATTACAAAAAATCATCTAATTAATAACAATATAAAAACTAGCAAAAATTTAAAATATACACTTACCTGCAAAACGGCCAAAAACTCGACGAGGATGACCAATGACGTTCCTATCTGCCCCTAGAGATGTTAATGAGAAAAATTAAAAAAATCATCTAATTAATAACAATATTAAAACTAGCAAAAATGTAATATATACACTTACATGCAAAACGGCCAAAAATTCGACGGGGATGATTGACGACGCTTCTATCTGCCCCTAGAGATGTTCATAAGCTTACCTGCAAAGAGAAAAATTAAAAATATCATCTAATTAATAACAATATAAAAACTAGCAAAAATTTAAAATATACACTTACCTGCAAAACGGCAAAAAATTCGATGAAGATGATTGACGACGCTTCTATCTGCGCCTAGAGATGTTAATAAGCTTACCTGCAATGAGAAAAATTACAAAAAATCATCTAATTAATAACAATATAAAAACAAGTAAGAACGTTGCAGTCGGGCGTTACCGACTGCGGAATACTCATTCACATCCCATCAACAATTTAGTAGTTAAGTTTCGTTCTAATACTGTAGAATATACAGGTTTTTCCGATTTGCCACGCCCCAACTGGGCGTAGACACCTCAGTTTTTAGAAAGAGATAACGTTACCCTAACTGCAAAGTTTGAATGCTTACCCTAAAAAAATGTGAAAATTACAGGGTATTTTTCGATATGCCACGCCCCTAAAGAGGCGTAAAAATTATTTTTGGGGAATCGATAGAGGAGGCTACCAGTAACTCAACTATCTAAATTTGAAGCTTCTAGCTATTATACTTTAGGAGATATAAACTTTTGCGGTTTGCCATGCCCCCTGTGGGCGGACATATATCCGACAAAACTTTTTGGTCTTGGGTGATCAGTCCGAGTATATATACAAAATTTCAGGTCTCTGCCATCAATAGTGTCCAAAATATAGGAGAATTTAAAAAATCACTATATCTTCAGGTCCGATTTGCCACGCCCTCAATGGGCGTAGACTTATAATTTATCTTCAGACTTTATAGAATCATACCATTAGCTGACGTGCAAAATTTCAGCATTCTAGGCTAACAACTTTAGGAGATACAGTTTTATCCGATTTGCCACGCCCCCAATGGGCGTAGATATATCCGCCATAGCTCGTGATCTTGGGTGGTCAACGCGGACCTACATACCAAATTTCAGCTTTCTAGCTCTTCAACAAACATGATTTCTGGTATATCGGAAAATGCATTTTCCGATTTGCCACGCCCCTAGTGGGCGGATCGGGAAAATTTTAACACTTTATAAATCGGAGATATACACGAGTATGTGTTCCAAATATCAAGTCTCTAGCTTCAATAGCGCCGAAATAGATTGCGTTCATACGGACAGACGGACAGACGGACGGACGGACAGACGGACAGACGGACGGACAGCAAGACGGATATTGCACAAAGCCAATATACTGATTCACTTTCGTGAATGAGTATAACTAGCAAAAATTTAAAATATACACTTACCTGCAAAACGGCCAAAAACTCGACGAGGATGACCAATGACGTTCCTATCTGCCCCTAGAGATGTTAATGAGAAAAATTAAAACAGTCATCTAATTAATAACAATATTAAAACTAGCAAAAATGTCAAATATACACTTACCTGCAAAACGGCCAAAAATTCGACGAGGATGACCAATGACGTTCCTATCTGCCCCTAGAGATGTTAATAAACTTTCCTGCAATGAGAAAAATTAAAAAAATTATCTAATTAATAACAATATTAGAGCTAGCAAAATTTAAAATATACACTTACCTGCAAAACGGCATAAAATTCGACGAGGATGATTGACGACGCTTCTATCTGCCCCTAGAGTGTTAAGAAGCTTACCTGAAATGAGAAAAATTAAAAAAATCATCTAATTAATAACAATATAAAAACTAGCAACAATTTAAAATATACACTTACCTGCAAAACGGCAAAAAATTCGACGAAGATGATTGACGACGCTTCTATCTGCGCCTAGAGATGTTAATAAGCTTACCTGCAATGAGAACAATTAAAAAAATCATCTAATTAATAACAATATAAAAACTAGCAAAAATTTAAAATATACACTTACCTGCAAAACGGCCAAAAACTCGACGAGGATGACCAATGACGTTCCTATCTGCCCCTAGAGATGTTAATGAGAAAAATTAAAACAATCATCTAATTAATAACAATATTAAAACTAGCAAAAATTTAAAATATACACTTACCTGCAAAACGGCCAAAAATTCGACGAGGATGATTGACGACGCTTCTATCTGCCCCTAGAGATGTTAATAAGCTTACCTGCAATGAGAAAAATTTTAAAAAATCATCTAATTAAGAACAATATTAAAACTAGCAAAAATTTAAAATATACACTTACCTGCAAAACGGCATAAAATTCGACGAGGATGATTGACGACGCTTCTATCTGCCCCTAGAGTGTTAAGAAGAAAAATTAAAACAATCATCTAATTAATAACAATATAAAAACTAGCAAAAATTTAAAATATACACTTACCTGCAAAACGGCCAAAAACTCAACGAGGATGACCAATGACGTTCCTATCTGCCCCTAGAGATGTTAATAAACTTTCCTGCAATGAGAAAAATTAAAAAAATCATCTAATTAATAACAATATTAAAACTAGCAAAATTTAAAATATACACTTACCTGCAAAACGGCATAAAATTCGACGAGGATGATTGACGACGCTTCTATCTGCCCCTAGAGATGTTCATAAGCTTACCTGCAATGAGAAAAATTAAAAATATCATCTAATTAATAACAATATAAAAACTAGCAAAATTTAAAATATACACTTACCTTCAAAACGGCATAAAATTCGACGAGGATGATTGACGACGCTTCTATCTGCCCCTAGAGTGTTAATTAGCTTACCTGCAATGAGAAAAATTTAAAAAATCATCTAATTAATAACAATATTAGAACTAGCAAAAATTTAAAATATACACTTACCTGCAAACA